GATTCGAACTAGTGTCCAATCAAAATATCCACTACAGGTCAATCGCGAGCTCGAATAGCTCAGTTGTAGCGTCTCTGACTGCAGCACTGTGTGACGTGGGTTCGAATCTCAGAAGGAATGTGAGTTCCTTCATGGTTGCAGATACGCCTTGCTGACTGGTGAGTGCCAACTAGCACGAAACCTAGGTCCAAGGCTTCCTGTGGCCGATTGCCTCCAACTATCTAATACCAACATTTCACATTGCACCGTAATGACGAGCCACCTAGTGGCATGGTGGCCACATTGCAAGCTTAACTGATAGGGTTCAGTCTACAGCGAAGAGAGAACTAGACACATCACACTAGTTACAAGTGTCCAATCAAAATAACTACTGATAAATCATATCAGTAATAGAAAAGATTTGTAACTCAGGTGGATGATTTGCAATTGATAGTGTTCTCTGAGCTCCTCAATTAAACCAAGGAGCTCAGAGAACACTATCAATTGCAAATCATATCAGTAGCACACGCCGCACTAGGAAGATTTGTTACAGTAATCATGACATACTACTTTTCACTGGACAGTTATTTCGTCCTAGTTTGGGAATTTTCGGAAGCTGGCACTCATTAACTCACCAGGTATCTGACAAGAGACCTTCAGTTTATGCGACTGGGCTCGTTGACGGTCTGGGCACTCTTTGGCCATGATTCATTGACCTGGGAACCTGGTGGTTTCGTGAATACGCCTTGGTTTTTCAGGGATTTCTCTAACTGATATTAGTTTGTTACGCAATCTACATTGAAACTGATCCAAATCCCTATAACTGCCCATAATCTAAATTTCCTGCATTCATCTTCGATTTGTCTAGGTATGTATTGTAATGAATAAAAATGTTTTCTGTTATTGAGCTGATTGATATTGTTTACTGTGTTCAGAGGGTGTTATCCAATATTTGTCCGCTGCATGGCATTCACATATAATGTTATTATACATTGTGTTACGTGTTTTACATATATATACATTGGATACATTTTTGTTCACTTCACGCATGAACCCTAAATGATAAACCCAAATATTGATGAAAATAATAACATTTAAGTGTTGAAACTTGTACTTGTGTTTTTATATTTGTTATTGTGTGTATTTTTTGGTTACATTTAACGTAAGGTAGTATTTACTGGCTTTGAGTTTCATTGAATTGATTTGAATACATGGTGCAAATTGCATTGGCCTCAAACAACCTATTTTGTAATAGTTTGATCGAGTTGGTGTGTATATGTGCGTGTTTGTGTACGTGTACGTGTGTGTGTGTGTGATTTTCAATCGTTCATTTCACTATTATCAGTCAATTGATAATTCCTGTGTCCTCAAATGATCTACTTCTGCTTTTAATCTAACTATTTTGATCTTCCTGGTTAACTCACTATGAAATTTCTTTTAACGATCTGACAGTCTAACAAAGATTTCATTCAGTGGCACATTTTACATAATTGATAGAATGGACTCTCTGAGCTCCAACCTAGAACTTTGCACAAATCTTCACCATCGAAAACGACTTTGAACTTTGTTGTCAGTAGTGTCTAGTCATTATTGCTTAGCATCTCAAGATCCAAAAGCAGCCAATCTACCCTGCCCTATGTAGCTACCTCAAACCAACTGTAATTCCCAGGTTTTGATTTGACCACCCAATAATCCTTTTCCAGTGTTGGTTTACGGCGAGTTGTCATCTGAAATGGTGACAACTAGTGGTGTCCGTCAGGAATGCCCATTATCCTCATCTCTATTCGATTTCATCATAGATGTACTAATGCATTTAACCCTAACTCACTTCAGAGACTCAGGGATTGACTTGTCACCAGGGAATAATCTCGTTGACTTAGAATATGCAGACGATGTAGTCCTTCTAGGCGAGGACGCTGACAAAATGCAGAGTCTTCTGAACACCTTGAGCTGCAATCTTCGAATGTTTGGCATGTGATTCGCTCCCTCCAAATGTAAGATGATGTTACAGGACTGGACTACACTGACTCATAGATTAGAAATAGGAAGTGAAGTGGTGGAGCACGTTGACCGCTCCACTTATTTAGGAAGTACCATGAGCTCCAACGGGTTGATTACTGACGAAATATCAGCACGGATACAAAGGGCTAGTTTCGCATATGCCAGTTTACGCCGTCTCTGGCGTAGACGTGATATCCGGCTGGCTATCGACCAAAGGACGGGTTCACTGCTCAGCAGTCCGCTCCGCCCTCCTTTATCGTTGTGAGACCCGGCCATTGAGAGTGGAAGACATGAAAAGATTAGCTGTCTTTGATCATAGGTGCCTCCGTTCTATTTCCCGTGTTAAGTGGTATAATAAGGTGAGCAATATTGAGGTTAGGCGTCGGTCGAGTGCTAGGTAGGTGGGAGGGGAAATCAATCGACAAGGCTGTGAAATTACATCGACCGAGATGTGTTACGTATGACTAGTCGTCGTCTTTCTCGACAATGGGCAGTGTTAGCTGATATAGGGTCAAGCTGGAAAAGAGTTAGCGGAGGTCAAACCAAAACATGGTTTCGTCAGTTCGTGAAATCTGCAACAGTTAGTTTAAACCAGCCATGTAGGAAGGTGTAGACTTCCTGGTCGGAATCCTTGGGTCGGTAAAATCCAGTGGTTGGAAACAATTAGTTATATGGCTCAAAATGCATCCACTCTTTGTGACCTGTGGTTTCCAATGAAATTGGTTTGTTCTTCATTACTTCTGTTTCCTTGTCTCACACTTCTGTTTACTGTCTCTATTATGCATTTCTTCTCTTGCTTTGTGTGCTACAAGGAGGGAGTGTGGTGACTTGAACTGGTGCACATCTGTGCAAAGTTCTATGTTGAAAACAGACGGACAGACAGGGTTGGCTAACATCGCTTGTTATGGCAGGTGATGGTTCGGGCATGCGCAACACTCCTATCCCAGTTGTCTCAGTTGATAGAATGATTTTTATCTGATGTATATTGAACTACACTGTAAGCAGGATTTGACGATTATATCTCCCTTTATACAGTTCTATCCCGGTCAGAGGTGAAAAGAGTTAGTTCTGAAAAGCCAAGTTTTATGCTTAACTGCATATTCATTAATAAGGTGTATTTATGACTTTAAAAATGGTATTCCACCTACAAGATTTGAAACTGGGTCATTCATTGATAAAGTCGAACAATTATCAGCTGAGTACCGTCTGTTTTTAGGCTTGGATTACTCATATAAGTTTTTTTGTCAAAAAAATGAGTTCTTCAGAAAGGTAATGAAATTCAACTGTTTTCTTTGAAAAGGTATTGATTAAATTGTGTTTCACTAAGATAGCCAAGTGTGCTATTTTGGAGGTCAATTCATATACAGAGTTATGTTTTTATTTCAAAAATACACGGTCTGTAATAACCGTAATAACATATGCATTGATGAGGCAGTGCATCATTTGAAGTTGCCATACTTTATATTAGCACACACGTGTATTAGAAAAACTATAATCTTATGAAGAGTAGTGAAGAGGTCTACAACACATATTATTATTATTATTAGTCGATCCTTACGCCACATCCCCATTCCACTCGATTTCCTACTACCACTGCTTTCAGTTCGCTCCACTCCTGTTCATAAGCTTTTATTTTCTATCCACTTGATCTTCTCCGTATCACCCTCTAACCACGGCCCCAACCCATCGCTTCTTATTTTGGTTTATGTTACCATATCGCTTGACTGCCTTACAAATGAACGCTGAAGTCTGTAATCAAGTTATGATGTAATTAAGAGGGTTGATGATGATATCTTCATGAATTAATTTGCTTATTGATTATACTAGTTGATGAGGTCACTTTCTGATTGTCATTAAAAATGCAAAAGACATCGTAGAGTCATTTGTGTAACTTTAGACTGCATAACTATATCGGTATCTTTTATCATATTAACTTCAGCACTTGAGTACTTCTTATTTTAACTCTTGCTTTCTTTATTGTTTTGTGTGTGTTCGACTGAGATCCACTAATGGGACATAGATTGAAAATCCACTCTGGCTACTTATGTTTCGGCAGCCTGGTAGTATCGCTTGCCTTCAGACTTTAGGTAGTATGAAATTGTGAAGCTGTATCGACTGAAATGGCTAAGACATGTGTTGCACATTGCTGAACTATCGTCATCCTCGTTAGACAATGTCACCTGACATTTTACATTTCTTACATGAGTTCAGGTTTCTATCGGCTACAGTAGTAGCGAGCTGACTTAGTGGCACACCACTCGGCTTACTAATCACAACCTTTCATACCCGTGAGTCGGTGGCACAGCAGTTAGGACGCTTGCCGACTCTGCAAATGGTCCGGGATTCGATCCCTTGAAGACGCACACCTGATATCAATTAATCGGCCTGCTAAATTTGAGCTACCGACATCACATGCTGAGAATTTCATACTTATCCCAAAATACTGTGTGAAATCAAGCTATTTTAAAATTTTTAAAAAGATACCTTTCCCAATATGACATCGTCTTCTTTGAGTAACCCAAGAAAGGCTAAGAAGAAGCAATAAAGAACAATGGGTAGGATGCGAGAGTGAAAAATTGAGAAAGTAGAAGTTGAGTGATTCCCGATTGTCTCAACTTCTTAATATAGTAGGTTAAACGGAACATCTTTCTAGAAATTCACAGGATATGGGATGACGAAGAAAGATCAGAGGATAAAACTATTCTAAGGTACTACATGTTTGATTTAGTCTCCATTTTATTGCCCTCTATGCTACAATCACCTTGTGAACGGACCAGTTCGTGTGGATCACGTTTACGCCTGAATGTGAAGTTAACTAGTCTGACTTTGAAGAGATTTAACATAGGACCATTAGGCTTATATCACTGACTGATGTTCAACAAAAAGCCATCAAGTTTGGAACAGTCAGATCGGAACGTAACTAACAATAACAGACAATCAAAATCATCAGCGTTATTTAACGAAGTTTCTTAGTAAGACATTAATTCTTTATATCTAATTTTTTCCAATCCATTCTACAGGTACGTTAACTGGTATCCGTGTAACACATCAAGTTGTCTATGCATTGTGTAAAGCTCAAAAAATGCAATGTGAATTTTATCCAACTCGTGAAGTTGTACTCAGTCTGGATCCGTATTCTGGTCTTGGATTCACTCTATGGGCGTTAACATCTGTCTACTGTGGACATCATTCAGTGTTAATACCACCGAGTGTAACAGAAGTTGTACCTGATTTATGGCTTAATATTTGTAGTCAAAGAAAAGGTAAACATATATGAGTAATTTTTTATGTAAAAAAACTTAGTAGCTTTATTTTTATTTGAAGTTTTTTATGGAAAAATTCATTCATATTTTAAATTTACAAGTGTTATTTTTGGGGATTTAACCACCTCCAAGTTAGATCATGGACTGATATATCAATTGGAAAACTGTTGGAAGCCAGGGAGTACTATATAGTCCTTTCGTTTCAATTCGCGACTCTTCAGTAGTATGCCCTCGTGACCCCTTGAAAATCTAACCCGGGACTGAGGGGTTACTGAGATGAAATCCAACCGTCCATGAATTCCAACTTCTCTCAATTCACCGCCAACGCGATGCTATAAGATTGTATCTTTCTTCATATCTGAATTGGTGGATCCCACTGGCTTGGCCAGTAGCTAATACCACCTGTCTGTCTGTTTTCGACATAGAACTTTGCACCAATGTGCACCAGTTCAAGTGACCACACTCCATGTAGCACACAAAGCGAGAGAAGAAAGTAGAAGAAATGCATAATAGAGACAGTAAACAGAGGTGTGAGACAAAGGAATAGTGATAACGAAGAACAAAACAGTTTCATTGGAAATCATGAGTTACAAGGAGTGGATGCATCTGCGCCAGCCATTGACAACAATTTTGAGCCATATCACCAATAGTTCTTCGAGCCTGCTTAGTGACATGACCCAACTAGCTACACTGACTGTCAACTGTAGGTGTAACAACAGAAGACAAGGGCCAGGCAACAGATCGTTTTATTATGAAAATCAACACGTATTTATACATCTTTCAACTACATTATTATTGACACGCGCAGTCATCTGATTGGTTGTTTAGGTAGACAAACGCAGGCTTCTGATTGGTTGTTTCGGGATTCCTTGACAAATAGAGTTCTCTCTGCGAATCATCTTTTGCCACGTTAACTCTGCTGTGATTGGTTGCTGACTCAGGCTTGTTCATATTTTCTCACGGCCCATATTAGTGACCTAGACCTTAACGTAGATTAGTGCCAACCAATCGGCTAGCAGCCTGCTCTCACCACATAGGTACTACTATACCAGTAGGGTCCTTTGGATAGCAACTAGACTGAAAGCAGTTACCATTATGATGTAAGTTGTGAACACTTTTTGGGATCTGTGGGCAAAGTTGTACTAGGAATATAACAGTAGTAAAGTATATCTTTCGGATGAGCAGAAAGTCAGCTATACTGTCTTTCCGCTTTCGGAAAGGGGAAGGGTTAGAATAGATCTACTCTGGAAATTGTACATCCTCACTCACCTTGACGGCGGTGAGATTTTTATACGGACTTCAGAATATGCTGCATATATGCAACAATATAAGCCAGTGGACATTCTGTTAGGCTCTCGTTTATCGGAAACTACCCACTCATTGAGTACACGCAATTCGAAATAATAATAATACTTTGTGCCATACATAATCAGAGGTATCACTCTAGTTTATTAGGATTACGCTAATTCATCAGTGGATTGTGTTGGTTAGAATTAAATCTCTTTTTCTTGGATTTCGGGTGCATAAACAATATTTTTCTACTGGTTGTCATACTGTTTGGTGCAACTGCAAGATTCGTGCTTTATTCAATTTATGGCTGGATAAATCTGAAGCATCTCTAGTGAGTGACTGTTTTATTTCCATTGAGACTTGATCCTTCCACCAATTTGCTTCATACACTAAAGCCTTATCTCCTAGATCTTTGAGCCACGAGTACCACCTTTCTATTTTCTGAGGTTATCGTGGCAACCAGGGAAGTAGAATTATATCTCTGGTATATGTAGCACACTGCTCTCTTGTTAAACGCTTAAATAGACACTAGACTGATAAGTGTTAAGTGTTTTATGTATATTCACATTGGTATCAAACAGTCAGTTTTTTGAATTTCATTTTAGCTATTTTTTTTTTCCGTTCTATCTTCAGTTCGTGATGCATTCTGTTCTCATTATACTATGGAGTTAGCTACACGTTATCTTGCTAAACAAATGACTGTTTTAAAGGTCAGTTAATGATGAAACTCTAATCACATTTTGTTTCTTTTTACCTTTTTATGTTGATTTTTGCCGGTTTAAACATTGCGATTTGTATTATTGGAGTTGAAATCAAATTGGTATTCTTCTTCACTTAGGCTATCTCCTACGGGAGGATAAGCCGGCTTCATGAACCATGAAGTTTCATGGGAATTGGGTACGAGTGATGTCCCCACCATCGCTCGGCCTTTGTTTGAGAGTGCAGCTCTAGCCTTTACACAACCATGTGTGACCTACAAGGCAGTAGGAGTGGAGTAGGGAGTCCACTATCCATTGGCAGCCGGTGACCGGAGTCCGGTTCATTCGCCTTTTTGAATGGGGCCACTCATCCAGGGCATCCAATAAGCCCTTTGTCCATACGTCTGCCGGTGAGCTTCATACGACAGTCGTTGGAGGTTTGGAATCAGGGTTTAGCCATCTCCCCTAGACTGTCATCCAATGGACAGTCAACCCGGTGGAGAGCGCCGGGCGTCCGCTTTTGCCCTCTCACTTTGGTGAAAAACACCTCCGCCACGTGAAGGCAGTGAGTAGGACTTCCTCAGGAGAGGCTATGTAAGACGCCTGGTCATATGGGAGCATTTCAAGAGGTGTACGGAGGGGTGGCCAACCCGCAGCGCAAGACACCCACCCCCGACCATCCTGAGGCTTTGGAGGCACTAATATAGATCAGTTCATATAGAGGCGTACTCAGTTTCACTCGTGTTACTTTAAACCACCTCTAATGAGTATATGTGTAAAACTTGGGCACTGTGGTAGTAAGTAATTCCATATTACTTTGTATCTTAGATGTATCACACAGTGAGAGAAACAGTATTATTTACTGAATGACGACGTTTTGAACAAAATTTATTGTTCATAATCATATCAATTGTAAATAATAATAATAATAATGACGACACCAACAATAAGGAATCTTAATCATCAGTAGTAATTTCATACAAGGAAAGAACCTCGGAAACTATCTTACGCAAAATTCTTAACAAGGCAAGAATAAAAGTGACTAGCATTCAAACCAACCACAAACTCAACTAGAAACAAGCTTTGTCGGTTAAAGGATCAATCCTGTGAAGCCTTTAAAACAAAACAATTTAGTTTATCTAATACCCCGCCTTCAATGATTGTCAGGTTAAATACATAGGTCAAACTAGTAGAACAGGGGCAGTCAGTGAGACTAGCCGAGCATAAAAACCTAGCAAAATCTAGATTGTTTGAACCGAATAAGGTAGTAAATCTAGAGAATAATTCAGCCATAACACTCACTACATGCAGTTACACACAACCATACAATAGGACGACAGTTTTAAAATGTAATGTTACAGAGTGGAGGGAGAGATTGATAACAGAAGCTTTGCTTATCGAATCAACTGCAAATATGTGTAACAGGAGTGATTCAACAACTGTCCATTCGGATATCTGGAAAATTCTACTGCTCCAGCGACGACAATTAGGAAAGAACAAAGAAAACTATAAAACTGAAGTTTCAAAGTCGTGTGATTACAGTTGATATGATTATGAACAATGAATTTTGTTCGAAACGTCATCCAGTCAATGGTAATACTGTTTCACTGTGTGATACATCTAATTCAGAAACTAATATGGAATCACCTCGAATGAGCTTCGACCCCGAACGAGCGAAACGATTTTTCCATCATTGGATCACTTCGATCTAGTTAGCCACAACTACTAGTTGATGTGATTAGTGTCCAACTACTCATGTTTATCAAACAGTACCTTGTCTAGTACTCAGACTCCGTCTTATATAATAATAATATTAATTGTTAACCTTATTACTTTCATCATTTCTATGATTGTCATAACTGTATGTTGCATTATCATCCGAAATGGCGTACAGTAAATGTCTATTTCTTTCCAGAAGCTAAGCGATCATCTATCATCTCTATATATTCATCAAATGTTATGATATGTCTGTGTATGTGGATATATATGGATGCTTAAATCCACCTTTTCTCAGTGTGTATTTGGCATTTTTCCCCGCGTATATTACAAGTCCATTATTCCCTCATCCCCTTCCTGCCTAACCACCCCTACCACTACCACCGGCTTATTTTGTTTATTATTATGATATAAGAGAAGAGGGACACTTTTATATGTACATGTCTGTATGTGCTTTGTTTTATTGATTCTACTGATTGCCTTGCTGGTAGATGCAATGTGTATGTTGATCTGTTTGCGTGTGTGTGTGTCTGTGTGTGAGAGTGTGTGTCTGATATTTTGATGACTGTTCACATTTGATGTTTTTTTCCTTCAGTTTGTGGACAAATACATCTTGCTACTGTATAATTATTCTATTCATCATATTTTGAATTATGGAACACTTCGGTTTCCTCTACCTTCAGTTGTGTTGACCAAGCCAAAATCATTTCTGAGTTTAGGTGTGGTAAAGGCCAACATTTGACCTTTTGTATGTAATCTATCTAGGAGATATATTTAGTCGATCTTATAAAATAGTGTAGTTTCACAGTTGTTGTTTGGATAGTTGGTTCAAATAATTGAAGCGCTTCACACTGCACTTCTCTTTATTGCGTAACGAGGTCGAATTCGACCAGTTTGTCAGTATTACTGGCTATCATGCAATCTGACACATGAATGTAATCTAAGTGTCATAGCATTGTGTGACGAGATTTTATTAATTGGTGTTACTTATGTATTGAATTCAAGTCCGTATACTTAAACGTTGGCGTTTTAGTGTGATCTAAAACAAGCAATAAAGGTCAATAAATCAGGATTTAATGAATTCATCAAATTTCGGTAGAACTCGTCAGCTGAAAGCCCTACATACACAGATATATATATACTTTTGAAATTACATTGGGAGATATAAGACTGATAAGTAAACAAACTATATTGAATTAGTCATGCAGAAAAACAGGTGCTAGTGTTTTCCAGGTCATGTTCAAATAGATTGGAGGAGAGAGAGTATGAAAGATCTAAATTAAAATAAATTGCATTACGCTTCAATTACATCACTTAGATATTTTTTTTAATTTTTGATTACAGCTTGATTCCACACCGTATTTTTCGTACAAGTTTGGAATTTTCAGTGTGGATATCGGTAGCCCAAATTTTGCAGGCCGACCATAGATATCAGGTGTGCGTCGGCGAGGGCTCGAACCCCGGACCATGTGCATGGTCGGCGAGCGTCCTAACCACTGTGCCACCGACGCACAATTAGTCATTACAGAACATAATAAGAATTACAAACAGAGTAATATCAATAGTAATGGTTATAATAGCAATAATGATAATAGTGTTGAAGTGAGTTATGATAATCATACTGATAAAGGATAGTTTTAAATTAATCAGTAATAATAATAAGAGGTAGAATAATAAGTAAAACGTATTACCATGGTAGATTCAGAGTCACGACCACCTCCTTTTGTACACAGAGACCTGGTGTATAAACACGAATTGCACAAGCCTTTGCAATTGCAATCATCTTCTGGTTTCTTTGTCTGCTGACAATAGTGAATGACTTGACAGCGTTGATATCATGTCCATAGTCCACAAGATGTTTTGTTATTGAGGATTTTGGCACTTTGCACTTAGCTGTTTTCGATCAATTTGGCAAATCCTCCATCATGCGAGTAGACCATCGCATTTCCGTACGACCTATATATTTGCTTCCACAAACACACTCAAATTGATATACGCAGTTTAAAGTGTTGAGGATTGGCGACTGGTCTTTCCCAGATTGTTGAAGCACTCTCTTAGTGGTGTTAAGGCTAACAAGTTTTGCAGCATAATAAGTTCTCTTGATGGCTTTATCGAGTCAGTTCAGTAATTCATGCGACTGATATCTAATATTGGTACATTTCACCTTTGACATAACTCATGTTCTTTTCAGTTTCTCTTCTATTCAAAAAAAGGAATCTTGTTGCTTATATTATTTATTTTTATTTTGCTATTTTGGCTTTAGCAACGTGAAATCAGTTTATCAAGTATACGCAGTTTAGTTGTTGTCGCTGAAGAACGACCACGAGTTCATTTGACGGCTACATTTACAAAATTATTTGCTAGTTTAGGTTTAATGGGACGTGCTGTAAGCACATCATTTGGTTGTCGTGTCAATTTAGCTATTTCATTACAGGTATGTTCAATTTCTTTGTTTTATCAACAATTGTGACACTTATCTGTCTTATTTACTGTATTTATTTACTTATTTTTTGAGTGAGCCTAAAGTTCAGTGATTTTATCTACCATTACGGGTTATACAATCGCATTATTTTCATATTGCAGTATTACTAATTATTAATTATTGCTGTTAGTCTCTTTAACCTATCGAATTACTCAAATTACTTTGATCGCTGACCCGTCGAATTTTGTTCGACATAGCCAATTAAAATGGGTAACGTTTCTCAGGATCAAATAAAAAATCTCTTCAAATTTTGGTTTTTAGGGATTCGATTGATTAGTTATAGGATTTCATCATGAGCTGACATCCGTTAGAGAACCATTGAAAAACCTGGGAGTACTGTATAGCTGTTTTGTCAGCCTAGTTTGCCACTCTTTGGTAGTACGCACCCACCGGTGGGGCACTAACCTAGGACCTTCTGCTCACAAGGTGAGCTCGTAGACCATTAAGCCACTGTGACCCGATCCATCTCCCAGCCCATGAATTCAAACTTCTGTGAATTCACGACATAGCGTGACCTGCTAGCCAATGGCTTAATGGTCTACGAACAGAAGGTCCTGGGTTCGAACCCCGGCGGTGGGTGCGTATTACTGAAGAGTATCAAACTAGGACGAAACAGCTGTACTCGTCGCAGGTGTTCCAATGGCTCTCTTACCAATGTTAGCCCGTGATGGAATCCTGTAATAAATCTCTTTTTGTATTGAATCTTGACGCAGAAATATGCACAGAATTGCAGCAGTTCAAGTCGCCCACACTCGATACAGTTCACAAAAGCAATTCAAAAGAATTACGATGAGCAGAAGCATACAGTAGAGTATCAAAAAGACTCAGTTGATCTGAAAGATTACAAACGGTGAAGTTATGTACGACAATAAAAATGGTTTTCAGACAGATTACCAACAGTCTCAAGCCATTGATTGTTAGCGCCTCGAGGACGCTAACTGAGCGGTCTGCTTGCCTCAAACAGTAAGAACCTTTGTCGATTGATGCCAGGTTATTAGTTTGACTACCAGTAACACTCTTTACAGCCTAGCTGACTAACCTTTCAGGTAACACTGTTTGTTGAGGAAGGCGATGTTCATCTTAACTTTCATGTAGCTTCACAATCTCATCGACTCACCAGCCTTACTTACCTAATACTCTACACTGAACACAAGAGACAGAATCCAGACACTTGTGGTGAAACACAACTAGACTCTTCATATCTTCCGCTTTCGATGACCATGTCTTACAAACATAAAATGAGACTTCTCTGAGTGGTTAATGTTATATATATTGACGAAAGTGATTTAGCGTAAACTATTTTGACTGTCTGATTATTCAAAGCTTATTAAATAGCTGTAGAAGAGGTGTTACTAAACATTTTTGTGTGAATCGACTGAAAAATTGAAACTTAAAAGAGCAATAAGTCAGTCACTGTCTACTTATTTACCTTCTCATTGATTGCACAACAGCCCCCAGGCAAGTTACAATATTTTTCTGCAGACCAAATGACTTCCTTTCTAAGATATTTCTGCTCGTGTGTGTGTAAATATTATTTCCTTCGAAATGAAAAGCTTTAATCACTTGTTGTAATTAGATAAGAATAATTCAGACAGGCCTTCAAATTTACTATTATCACTAGTAATATTAGTAGTATGTTTTGAATAACATTGTGTCATTTTCTGCTCTCCAGTCATTGGTATTTTTATCGTTGTTGTCGTTGTGTATCGGCATGTTACGTAAAAGTGTGTGTACAGACAAACATTCAACTTCTTATGTCTATGGCGGTGGCGGTGGCGGTGGCGATGGCGATTTAGCCTTCAAGTTGCCATACTTCTCTCTTTAACTGATCTCTGTCTAAACATTATTATTATTATTATTATTGTGTCGAAACGAATGTTAGTGTTTAACTATTAAGTGCCGTTACAATCATAGGCACTGAATTTTTTTAGACATACTCTATTTCTCCTCCGCTCCCTGCGTTTCCCAAAAACATGTATGTGTGTATGTGTGCCTTCTCCCCTCACATTCTGCACTAGTCTACAACACATACACACACACACTTATGCTAGCAGTATATATATAAAAACCGATTAAGCAAAACAGAAAATGTCATTTGAAGGAAAGAGTTAAAATTACACAGTCGGGGAGAGTACAAGTTGGAAAAGAAACATGTTAGTGAATATCATCAATGCTGTAATGTCCAGAATTATATGAGACATACATATACACGTGTAATTTGATGTGTACTGTGTGTGTAGATGTGTACGTATGCGTACAAATGATTTGTTATTCTGCGTTTTGGTTTCATAAGTTGATTGATAAATATATTGGATAGTTGGAGGCAATCGGCCACAGGAAGCCTTGGACCTAGGTTTCTTGCTAGTTGGCACTCACCAGTCAGCGAGGCGTATCTGCAACCTTGAGGGATTTCATGTCCCTTCTGAGATTCGAACCCGCGTCACCAAGTGCCGCCTTCAGTCAGAGACTTTACCACTGAGCTATTCGGCTCGCGATTGACCTCCTGTAGGACTGTAGTGGGTATTTTGATTGGACACTAATAACTAGTGTGATGTGTCTAATCCTTTCTTTGGTGCAAACTGAATTCTATCAGCCAGGCTTTGCAATGTGGCCACCATTCTAGGTAACTTGCCATCACGGTGCACATTGATTTGATGATATTAGATAGTTGGAGGCAATCGGCACAGTGGTTAGGACTCTCGCCGACAATGCACATGGTCCGGGGCTCGAGCCCGCACCGACGCACACCTGATACCTATGGTCGGCCTGCAAAATTTGGGCTACCGATATCCATGCTGAAAATTCCATACTTGTACCGAAAATACAGTGTTGAATCAAGCTGTAAATAAAAAATTAAAAAAAATTATATATATATATATATATAATTTCGTATTGGAGATAAGAACAACACACCATGACACAACTATATAGCATTACAAGTATGAGTTTTAAAAATAGGTCACTTAAAGTTAATTTATTATTTTATTGATCGAATTCATAATTAACCGCTTGAATTTGTGCCTAACCGTTTGCTATAGTTGCTTTGTAAGGATTAGTTTTGTTTTTTACGAGTTGATCACGGATTGATATCAGTTAGAGAACCATTGAAAGCCAGCAGGGAGTACTGAACAGCTGTTTCCTCCATCCTAGTTTGTGAATCATCGGCAGTGCGCACCCACTGCCAAGGTTCGAAACCAGAACCTTTCGGTTATAAGGCAAGCTCGTATACCATTCAGCGACTGGGACACCATTCAATGACAAGCCCATGAATTCTAACTTCTACCAATTCGCGATGCATTTAGCGTAACCACCAACCAACGTCGTCGGCGGGACATCCATCCTCACACTTGACTGGATGGACCTCACTGGTCACACTACTTCTCACCTATTTGGTTGTTGAGTTTTGTATTGTAGTTTTCAATGATTCTTTTCCTATGGAAGAACATTTTTAGATGTATTCATCATAACTCGCCAACAGGATGGGTCAATAAGACAGTATATCTACATGAACCCCCACCATGGACTGCATGATATCTAAATTGTCATAATTTCTGTCCACTTCGGTTAGAAAGAAAAGCGTTATTCAAGTATTTCTTCAGACGTGTTCAACATAGGTGTACAGAAGATACCATTGAAGAATACTTTTGCGTAATAATTATGTCCTGAAATTTACTAAGCACTACAGAAGTGTTAGATAAATAGCCCTATCAATCCGATAAGCTTCTAAAAATGGATGTTTATATTTCCTTACTGTTCAAGGGTGACCACCAAAGTGTGAATACTATACAAAGACGCAGAGTGACACTCAGTAGAACTCATCATCCCCTTAATGCTCATCTTTATAGAGATATCGAGATTTATACTATCCTCTATGCCTTCAAAACATCCGAATTATGGTGTTATGTCCAACCATGTATACCAGTTTACGTGTATGTAAGATTACACATGCATAAGGAGGACTACATGAACAGATAAAATCACTGGGTACAATTAATCCGGGAAAATCATGTCTGACGCCATCTATTGCAAAGCACATCATAGAGATGGTTCTTAAAGTTGAATTCAAAAGCGCGGATGGAATGTCCTAAACATACTATTCAAATGCTGCATTACACGTTTCAGATAAATCACACGTCTTCTAATTTGTTTTGTTGAACTAATGACTTTAAAGAAATAATTTAATCTACCGAGACTTATTTCACTTAAGTCGATAATTACGTAACAAGCACTCTTTTATCACAATGTACAATCTGTTTCTCGTGCTCAAAAGAATGAAGTCTATAGTATTTCACTTTTTCTACGTCTTTATCCCCTCTCTCTATTGAATATGTGATATATATGAAACTATTGACAATGACTTTATTGTATCTCTTTTAATTTATTTATTTGTTGTTAATTAGGGGGCTAGTTCACCAGAAAGTACAACTGTCTATGTGGATCGTGTTAGTTTACGTAATGATCGTGTGAAATTACTTGAAAAAGGATCACCACATAGTCTATGCCTTATGGAATCTGGAAAAGTAAGTTATCCTGTGATATATATATATATATATATTTGCGCATCAGTGGCTCAGTGGTAAAATTCATGTCCACCATGCCCGTGGTCCAGGGTTCGATTCCCGACAGGCATAAATCTGAACCTCACCTAGTCAACTAGGCAGTAAGTAATAAGCCAAGAAAAATGGTAAGTTTGGTCGTGTGACTAACAATCGCACCCTGTAAAAAATAATAGAACTACTGCTAATGAAACTTCAAGGCTAGATACCCTATTTTTCAGTCGGAATGTATAAGAGTGATTCTATAAATTAACATATATGTGTGTCAGTGTAAATGGTGTCACTCACCAACATCGGTTAGAAAATCAATGGAAACCGTCCTGATTTGAGATTCTTCAGAAGGACACATCCACTCCCTCCCTGTCAGAGATCATGAGTAGGATTCTCAGATTATATTGTGATTCCTTTGACTGTTCACCCGATTCACGAATCTCTTCTAATAGTTTAATGTAAGACCCAAATTCATCAGTTGGTCGAACATACATACATTTTTCATGTGGTGAGGTGGGGTAATTTGTGCTTTTAGCTTGATTGTTATTATCATTGTTCCCTTGGGCTCCTAGTGGAACATAGGACTTCAACTGCACGTCTCCAATTGCCACTTCTGTCTTCTGCTATACTTTTCGCCTGCATCCATGTTAGTCCATACTGTTTCAACTCCTCTTCACACGATCCCCTCCATAGTCACCCTTGCACTGACGACCTACTCGCCACTTCCATTTCGGCCTGGTTTTACTCGAGCAATGGCCTGACGCGCGCGCGATGTCACCCAGCGGCCTCCTCAGCAAGCGAGTGTCCAATCCATCTACACTTACTCCTGCATATTTGTTGGTTGGCGATTGGTTCTTGTTTTGTTTGTTCCTATAGTTTCTTGTTGGTGATTCTTTCCGGCCTAACCATCTGATCTTTAGTATAGAGTGAAGGACAGTTAGGTGTTGATAAAGGTCTGCAACAGGCTGTTGGAAATATTCTTTGTGACCCGCCCGCCAACTTTCTGATCCGTATAAAAGAACTGACTGACTTGACGTTTGTATTGAAAATCCGACTGAATTTTGACGTCGATGCTGAGTTGAGTGACGAAGATTTCCAGATTGGTTTCAGCCTGATGAATGTGTTTCTCGCCTTCTCGATTCTCTCTCGATTTGACATTCTCGTCCATTCCTCCATTCTGTAGTTGAGACAATGCTCCCTAGATAAGTGAATGAGGTAACCTCTTTCAAATCCCTGCCGTTGATGGTGATTGACGCTGGATGTTGCTGCTGCTATTGTTGTTGTTGGTTGGTTATTTGCATAACCTCCGTCTTGTCTATGTTTGCCTGGAGTCCTGTCTTCGTCGGCTGCTTCTTCGACCAGTTTGTCGGTCGGTTTTCGCTTGTAAGTCTTCGATTTTGTGTGACATCAGACATAAATCATCCGCGAAATCCAGGTCTTCTAGGTTCTTCACGTCTGTCGGTCCAGGATATCCTTTGTCTTCTCGTTTCCCACTGTCTGACGCATAATCCAGTCAGTCCACCACAATTATGAATATCATTGGTGATAATAAGCACTCTTGTATGACTCCAGTGTTTACTCCAAACGCCTTTTAACTCGATGGCTGATGTAATCACTCGACTTCTAGCAAACAGATCCTAAGTTCGAATCCCGCCGTGTCTACATCATTCCTCACACAAGAAGTGTGCTTCGTAGCTCGGTATGCGGTTACTGAACCTAGTGAATCATTCTCATTGAATGATGCTGTCTTTAACATTATCATAATTTTCATTTTCTTTTGATGAATTCAATGAATTAGATATCCACTCGCACTGTTTAATATTATTGTCTATTTTTCTTGTAGTTATTACCTGGTGTACACGTAGCCATAGCTAATCCAGATACACTTGGTCAATGTGCTGATTCACAATTAGGTGAAATTTGGGTCTCATCACCGCATAATTCAACTGATTTATTAGGACCATTTGATAGTGCTAGTTTAAATCGTTCAAATGGAAGTGTTTCACAACCAGTAGCTGGTACAAATGCTACAGATTCATTGCATGCTCGTTTGGTTACTGGTGACACAGAAAGAATTTATGCACGTACAGGATTTCTAGGCTTTGTTCGTCGAACTGAATTGACACAGTCAGATGGAGGTAAATGTTTTTTGTTTATTTTTCTTCTCTAATTTCGCCTCATTTTTTATTCATAATCTTAAAATGATTATATTTTGTAGTTATCGTGTACTCATAGCAACTTTTGTTTCTCTTAGTCCTTTGTAAGCGCACCGGACTCTGATTAGTTGTCAACTCTTTGAAACGTAATAGTGAATGAAAAGTTTCTCAGGGTCATTTCAAACTCGCATTTTTAACAGGTTGCAAACTTTTGTCAACATATACAGCTTCACTGTCTTGTTACTGAAGATCAACTGATCGAAGAGATAGGATAAGTCAGAAGAAACTCTGGTTTGTATGCAGAAGGAAATGGAAATGGATCGAATGCATCTTGCGGAAATCGTTGAATGACATCGCATGCCAGGCCTTAGAGTGGAATTCGAATTGGGAAGTGACGAGTTGTGCAATGCTCTGAGGATGATATGTAGGGGAGATTTTGATGAGGAAAAAGTAGAAGCAGATGGAGAATCGTGGAGCTGGCTAAAGTTGGTTGTAGAGAACAGAGTGAAATAGAAATGTGTTGGGGAAACCAAACGATCCACTTGGATCCTAAGGAAATGATAGTATAATATGATGATGATAATGATGTTCTGTGATGCAGTCAAGGGTCCTGACAGTAATTCATACAGTAATATGTATCCATATATATATATATATATATAACATGGTGGTCTCTCTTTCTGTTGCTCTCTTAGTCTGTGACCATTTCACTTTGATGAACCTGTCTCCTTTAACAATGTATATTCCCCTTAATAAATAATAATAATTTTTCCTTCACGTTCCCAGTGGAACATAGGGCTCCAAGCTAGTGGCTTGAAGTTTCTGTAGCAGTGTTTAATTTTTACAGGATGGTGTTGCTAGCCTCATGCCCAACCTTTCCTCTTTACCGGCTCAGTGAGGTAAAGGAGTGCGCCGGCCGGGGATCGAACCCCGGACCATATGCATGGTCGGCGAGCGTGCTAACCGCTATACCACCGACGCACATATTCCCCTTATAGTATATATAATATGTGTGTTTGTTGACATGTCTGCTATATTTTGCTATGTATATATATGTATATATATCGATACTCCATTATAATTAGCCAATCATGTTAAGACTGTCTATTGATTGTTCACACACTTGTTTGGACATTCATATATATTTTGCTCTCACATGATTGTGTGATACATTTGATTCTCCTTGTGTTTGGAAAATAGAAGTATCATCGCAAACCTAGTGGTCTTCTGATTTCCGTCTTTCTTGCGTCAGGACTATTAAATTCTCGACCAGTACATAGCAATAATTTGGTGACGAGTACATAACATACAGTCAAAACTACAGTCGTTCTGTTATTTCCACGTTAATGCGGTATTACTGTTGTTGTGGCTGATGGTATCATCTTGGCGATTAGAGTTGTTCTTCTCAAGCGTATTAGCTTTGTGTATTGCTCACAGTCAATTAGACTGTATTACTACTGGTCATATCACTTCACCTGATTACAGGAAATTTCTTCTCGTCTTGTCAATGCTTATTTAGTTTCCTTAAAATAATAATATATTTGTAAAACCTGGTCACTGTGGTAGTAAGTAATTCCATATTAGTTTGTTTATTAAATGTATCACACTGTGAGGGAAACAATATTATTTACTGGATAACGACGTTTTGAACAAAATTTACTGTTCATAATCATATCATCAATTATAATCACACGACTTCGAAACTTGAGATTTATAGTTTTCTTTGTCTTCCCCTATCTGTCGTCGCTGGAGTAGTAGACTTTTCCAGATATCCGAATGGACAGGTGTTGAATCATTCCTATTACATGTATTTGCAGTTGATTCGATAAACAAAGGTCCTGTTATCAATGTCTCCCTCCACCCTGTGACACTAGATTACAAAACTGTCATTTTATCCCACCACCCTTTTGTATGGTTGTGTGTAATTGCATGCAGGGAGTGTTATAGCTGAACTATTCTCTAGATTTATTATCTTATTTGCATCAACTAATGTAGATTTTGCTAGGTTTTTATGTTCAGCTAGTCTGACTGCCCTTGTCCTATTAGTTTAACCTATGTCTTTGACTTGACAATGTGCGTCGGTGGCACAGTGGTTAGAACTCTCAGCTACCATGCACATGGTTCGGGGTTCGATCCTCTGCCGGTGCACACCCGATATCAATGGTCGGCCTGCAAAATTTGGGCTACCGATATCACATGCTGAAAATTCAATACTTGTATCAAAACTACGGTGTGGAATCAAGCTATCATCATCAAAAAAAAAAAATTGTAGGCAGGGTATTAGATAAACTAAATTGTTTTGTTTTAAAGGCTCCACAGAATTGATGCTTTCGCCGACAAGGCTTATTTCTAATTGAGTTTGTGGTTGGTTTGAATGCCAACGACTTTTATTCCTGTCTTGTCAAGAATTGTGCGTAAGGTAGTTTCCGAGGTTCCTTCCTTGTATGAAATTACTACTGATGATTAAGATTCCTTATTGTTGATGTCGTTTTGCGCATGTTTGACAAGCATGTCGTCATTATTAGTTTCCTTAAAGTCAGACTCCGGTTGGGGTCCTCGGACTTAAATCAATGGCTGGAGACAGTAGGTGACATGGCTCAAAATCGTTGTCAATGGCGCAGATGTATTCAGTCTCTGTAATCTTTCATATTCCTTCCTACCATTACCATTCTGTTTCACTCTCATACTTGTCAAACTCTATTGATTCTCTCATCATCTTCTTGTTTACCTCTGTGTGCTATTTGGAACGTGGCAACTCGAACTGGTGCACTTCGGTGCCAAGTTCTATGTTGAATCCAGACAGACAGACTAACTTTTCAGGTGTGAATACTTAACTTTAGGTTTTAGGTAGATCTTAGTCATGAACTGTTTGTTCTTGTGTTTGAATTAGTTGTTATTGTTTTAAACTAATTGCACCTTTGTTTTAGAAAAAAGTCTCCCAGTGTTTTTAATCAAATCGTGTAAATAGTGTTATAAAGTTGATTTTGTTACTATTCTGTGTGTTAATTTGTTTGAGTGTTATCTATCGGTCTATCATAAAATGGTTGAATAAATCCATTTCTATGTGTGAGCTGTAGTGTTCATAGGTGTTGTTGTTGTATCTGAACTCATGACCTACTGGAAAAGTCATATTAATATTGTAACAAAAAACACTCAATGTTACAGTGATTAACGTTGATTTATATACTTGATTGTTGTCACCTTTTCCATGTATGTTTGTCTGTGTGTACATATGTATGTATGTGTGTTTGTTTGCACGTATCAGGATGAGACATCATTTAGTGAGAGTAATGAATGAATGTTTTTATACAATTGGTGTCATTTTCATTCAGATGCCTGTCGTTTTATTTTGCAGTTATTTTTGGATTGTTATGTTTTTGTTTTTCAGATTACGTAACTTTAGTCTTCGTGATTAGTTGAAGGAGTTCATTATGAGAACCCTGCAGGGAGTACTGGAAGGGTGCATCGTCCTTGTTTGGGACACTTCATCAGGACGCACCCACCAACGGGGTTCGAACCCAGGACACTGTGGTTACAGGGTGGGCTCGTAGACCATTTAGCCACTGTGACCCGATCCAATGAATTCTAACTTCTGGTAATTCATGACAAAGAAGTCTGTCTGGCTGTTTTCGACATAGAACTTTGCACCGATGTGCACCAGTTCAAGTCGCCACACTCTATACTTGTAGCACACAAAACAAGAGAAGAAAGTAGAAAAAATGCATAATAGAGACAGTAAACAGAGGTGTGAGACAAAGGAGTAATAATAACGAAGAACAATATAGTTTCATTGGAAATCATAAGTCACAAGGAGTGGATGCATCTGCTCCAGCCATTGAGAACGATTTTGAGTCACATCACTAATTGTTTCCAACCGTTGGTTTTTACCGTCCCGGGGACCCCAACCTACGTGGCTTAAACTAACTGTTGTGGATTTCATTGACTAGTGCCATGTTTCGGTTTGAACACCGCTAGCTCTTTTCCAGTCTGACCCCATGTCAGCTAATATTGCTCATTGTCGAGGAACCATCTCAGTTGATGCAATTTCACAGCTTCATCAATTGATTTCCCCTGCTTACCTAGAACTCGACCAAAGCCTAACCTCAATATTGCTCACCTTATTATACTACCAGCTAACACGGAAGATAGACTGTAGGCATGTATGATCAAAGACAGCTAGCCAGGCTTTTCGTAACTTCCACTCTCAATGGCCATGTCTTACAGTTGGCCATAAAGGAGGACGGAGCGAACTGCTGAGCAGTACAGTATTTGGTTTTGCCTTCTTTTGTATGCTTCTCTCACTGACTTAAATTCGTGATCAGTGTGTTGAACTGTATCTGTTCTTACATGACTTCATATTGAAATCATCCAACTCAGAGAACGCCATAATGTTGTATGAATTAAACACATTACACAACGTGAAAAGAAAATGCCAGAGAAAGAGAGAGAAATGCTTTCTGTATAAATATAGAATGCAATTCATAGTTTAATAAATTACATCTCTTGAATATTCTAATTGTTTTTTTCTCACATTCATTTATGCCTTTTTTATTCACTTTGTTTTTTGCACAATAGAACTGCATGATGCAATATTTGTAGTCGGTAGTCTAGAAGAAACTATACTATTGCGTGGAATGCGTTTTCATCCAATCGATATTGAAAATACTGTAATGCGTTCACATAAGAAAATATGTGAATGGTAAGATTTTTTTTCTCTGTAAATTATCATGATTATTATTATTATTTCATCAAAGAATATGAATGATATGCTGTTAGTGGGTGACTGGGGGCGGCAGTGTGGAATTCATGGGATGCAGATTACGTCCTATTTAGGACTAGTCTTATGGATGTACTTTGCATTCCCAATGAGAATTGTTTGTCTTCCCATTGTGTGACTCGAACGCTGCATCCATCGTTACAACTGTCAAAGCAATATCCACTACGACCTGGACAGTTACTCCTTTGAATCACCGAAAATACCCATTGAGTCATGAATAAAATAAAGGACAAATTCAGCGAAGAAAATTGTCTTTATCGACGAAATCATCTTCAGAGGTTGTTCAGTCGTATTTATATTTACCAAAAATATATAGTGTTCTATTATTGAGTAATAGAAGGTGACATAATTGATATAATTACTCAGAAGTGGCTTTAGAAGTGAAAATTAAAAGTTGTAAATTACGTGGTACTCACTCAACGGTATAAAGATAGAAATTTGATAAGGTTAAAATTACTATTGAGTGCGAATAAAGGTATTTGAGTGTCAATTTAACAAGTGTAAGGAGGGTGTGAAGTCTACAGAAGAAGCATATGAGAGTGATTGTAGTGAATAAGTTATTAAAGCAAAAACAAACTAAAAGTAAATTTAAAAAAGTAAAGAAAAATCAAAATTTTTTACAGGGACCGACTAGTGACGAGGTAGAATAAGAGACTGGAAAAACTTTTTCTGTATACAGAGTTCAGGGTTGTATTGACGAATAATTGCCAGCGCCTCCACCATACACAAAAGTCGAAACCTTGACACCCTTTTTACTATTTGGCTGCACTTTGTAGATGATGTTGCAAGACAAGTCTGGTAGAGCTATGTGACCTGAGTTCACCAAACGCTCGAGAATTCAGCTAGTAATTGTCTTGCATTGTCTCTTTGCTAACCATGCCGGATAATGTTCAGAGATGCGTTTGGAAAGCGTGCGCTTTACGCGGCCAATATAACTAGCTCCACATGAGCAGGTGATTTCGTCGATAAAGAAAATTTTCTTCGCAGAATTTGTCTTTTATTTACTTCTTTGACTTGTATTAGTTGTTGGCATTTGAAGTGATGCGTATAGGGTTCGAGTCTCAGTGGGAACACCACCCGTCTCTGGGAATGCAAGTACATATATTTGAAAGCCCTGAATAAGACGAAATTCACTCATAATGAATTCGACTACCAGTTAACTGTTATCCATAATAACATTAGGCTAATCCTCAAATATCATCGAAGCGTCCGTACTAGTAGAAGCCGATATGACACAGCTAAACGAATGATTCCGTCCAACATAATCAATCAATCAATCGGTAACGCAAATTAACCAAACACACGAATGATATACTGTTGTGTTTATTCATGTTTATGTGCGTTTGTATGCACGGGTGTGCGTATGTGTGTGTGTGTGTGGGGGGGCGTTTTGATGCACACAACACTTTGCGATATAAAGTCAATCAGCCTCCTTTTTCATCCCATGCCAAAATAAGAAAACATCAGATTAATATATTGGCTACTATCGGTTAGTGGTATCAGTACTTGTGGTGACTAAGCTAGATTGATATGAACTATGGGAATTTATAAACAATGAGCAACTAGCTGAAAACCAAAGTCTGGTCTGACACCAAGTAAAACAACCTTATTTTGGCTCACAGTAGGGTTTTGTTTTCTTCGAAGGGAGGAATCGAATAATTCAGTCTAAAATATTTGACTATTTCGCACACGACTACTGCTATCTCAAGTTTGATGCAAAATGAAAGCCTTTGATTGAAAAATGATGAAGGGAATGGGAAGGGATAGCTCCTAACCGGTAGAACTAAGTAAATAGTGATTTAAAAATTCCCATTTAGACATTTAAAAGAAATAGAAACCAATAAATTGAATGAAGAAAAATGTATTCCTCTTAAATCAGCACCATATCGAAGACTGCATATTTATATACAGTTGTTTTCAAGTATAATACATCGAAATTATAATAAATCATTATATTTTAATCATGTTAGAATTCATCGTTTATTGGATTCCATCATAATGACTGAATCACTAATAGGCTCACATGGTAACCTAAAGAGGGGAAAGGTGGCGCATTGATTTAAGCTACTCAACTTTCAACCGATGGGCACCGGGTTCGAATCCCGCTCCACCCAGTGCAACCTGGGCAACTGGGTAGTATCATTAGCCTCCCCCCTCCTACACACACGCACAAAGAGTGTGGCTCACATTTCAGTACTGGATGATTGAGACCTTATTCACTAACCTAAAGTTCCTGAGGTTAAAATCTGTTTAGTTAGATAAATAAATAACTCAACCAACCTAGTTAGAATTTCATCCCAGTGGCTGAATGATCAATGGGTTGTCTCATAACCCGAAGGTTCTAGATACGTTTTCCCAGGGGGTTATGGGCACGTATTGAGAAGAGTCTCACGCTAGGACGAAATATGTATCCAATGATCCACTGGTCTTCGGTGCCTCTATAACTGAAGTTACAAGTGTTTTGTGAATGTCGACTATATATCTGCCTCGAATACATTGGGCTACTGATTATGCTAATGAAAGTGTATGGGCGGTTATTTTTAGCTGTCCGCACTGGAAATTGATATTTTCTTGAAGTACCTGAAACAAAATGAGCATTAGCACTGCATTATCACAGAGCCCAGAGGATATGACTACTTCAAGCCAGTCACACACGACCTTTTTGAGTTGACTTTTTTAGTTGTATTCGTATTGAAGTTTATCATCGCCTATGGAACACCAAAAGGTAAGTTGGGGTGTACAGTTTTCGGCGTCGATCTTTTATAACGCCATTGGAGTGAAGTGGCAGCACGGCTGGCTTGCCAGTCGTCTGAAGAAAGCTGCTTATTACTGTTGTTACATCCCTATTTGCCAGTAGTACGACTTTCCCTCCCCACTGTGATGGTGATTGCCTTTAGTTTAACTGCTATCCAAATTACCTTTCTAGCACGATAGGGTCCCTAGGGTTAGGCGAAGTAACAGTTATTTGGCCTTTTGATTTAAATTTGAGCTCTAAAACTGATGAACAATGATTGCACTTTTTACAGTACTGTTTTTTATAATTTCACTGAATTGTTTATTATTTTTTGATTCGATTCTCTAGGTTAGTCATTTTTTTCACAAGTTTCACACCTGACTGCTATCATCATATTTTTCAAATACACCAGGAGATAAATGACACATCATTTCATCCCGTCCAATGTGCTTAGTTGTATTGTGCTTTCCTCTTAGTCTAAAGGTCTTGGGTTCAATCCCTGGTTAGGTTACGCCTGTGTATTGTGTTGAGGAATCTCAGACTAAGTCGAAATGCCTATCTGAACAGTACTCTGTGGCTTATTGACTTAAGCATTCGACTTCTAGCCAGCCTGTGTGTGCCCTGGGTTTGAGTCTCGCTTCACCTATTTCAGCCTGGGCAACTGGGTAGTTTAACATTAGACCCCTCAAACAACAAATGTGGTTTATACGCCAGTACTGGGTAGCCGAATTCTAACTAACTAACTTGCAACGACAGAAGACAAGACATTTATATAGATTTTTATGTACATTATTATTAGCGTTATTGTTAACAGGAGAAGCAACGTCTTCTGATCGGTCGTTTTCTTGCTAAAGGTTATTATATACTGCTTGTGACCGTTTCTTAGAAAGTTAAGCCATATATCTGCGAATCGTATTCGCACACGCTAAGTTTGCTGTGATTAGTTGGTGAGCTCCTCAAGGTTAAGCTTTGTTACTGTTTTTCTCATGACTCTGATTTGGGAAGTAAACATTGACGTAAATCGTTGTCTACAATTTCGTCTAGCAGACAGTTCTCACCACAAACTAACTAGTACTCCATAGCTGTCAGTTGTTCACTAACTAGTACGGTTTCGTGATGAATTCTGTGCATGGAAATCATCAAATCCTTATGAAAACCAACACTGTCATTTCTTGTTCTGAGTATATAACTCATCTTCATTTCAATTGTTGGTTTGTAGGGATTTGATTAGTTACAGGATTTCATCATGAGCTGACATTAGTTAGAGAACCATTGGAAAACCTGGGAGTACTGGACAGATGTTTCATCCTAGTTTGGGACTCTTCGTCAGTTCGTCATCAGTACGCGTACTGATGAAAAGTCGCAAACTAGGACGAAACAGCTGTTCAGTATTCCCAGGTCATCTTCATTTGTTTTCCCCCTAAATTATGTTTTTTTCTCCCTCCACTTCTCTCTCTCTAGTGCTGTATTCAGTTGGTCTAATCTACTAGTTGTTGTCGCTGAGTTAGCCGGTGAAGAGAACGAGGCAATGGATCTTGTTCATCCGATTACCGCACATGTATTAACTGAGCATCAAATGATTGTTGGTGTTGTTGTTGTCGTTGATCCTAGAACAGTACCAATCAATCCAATGGGTGAAAAACAACGTATCCTGTTAAGAGATAGTTTTGTCAATGATAAACTTGATCCAATCTATGTATCGTATAATATGTAAAATTGTAAAATGCTTTCTCTTTATCCCTTCTTACCATCTTACTATCTTTACTATCTTGCTATCTTTGATCTTCACCAAACATGTGTGCGCAGTATGTGTATTTGTGTCTGTCACATATAGTTGCTTTTCCACTCTTCTTCTTCTTCTGTGACGAATAGAAACATCCGTGGTGATGACACAGCATCAATGAATTCATCAATCAATCGATCAGTTGTTTCTTTCTTTCGTTTTTTACTCGTCACCCCCTTTTTTCATGATTACCTGGAAGTGTTAGGATTTATGAATATAATATAATATGTATTAATAATTATGTATCTATCTGCTTCCCTTCTCTTCCGGTTCCTGTCCCCCCTCCCCACTCTCGTCTGACTCTTTCTCGCCTCCTTTGCCTCCTCCCATTCAACGAAATCATCGTATTATGGAAAACGCCATTTTTTAAAAAATTTCTAGTGTGCAACGTCGTTTTCCCCGCGTTTTTTAGGATTATTTACTAATTACGTTTTTGCAAACAAAAAACAACAACAACACAAGGCAATATTGTTTTCACAGATCATGATCATTTTGTAATTTCAACAGATCTATCCATCTATCTACCTATCTTCTAAGGAGAAATGTGCATATACTACTTTATACGACGCTGTATCTTCTTTTGTTTTTTTTAGGTAAATCCATTGATTTCAATGTGTTACGTGTTTATCAATTGACTTATTTTCCTGCTTCATTTGGAAATTTTTCCTCTGTGTGTGTGTGTGTGAGTGAGGGAGCGAGTGAGTGGTTAGCAGTTTTCACAATCCCCTAGGTGTGTCCCTATAACACTGAAGCATTTCCCTGTGTATAAAATGAAAATAAAAGAGGCAATAAATGAAGTGTGAAGTACAGTGCACCTCTTCCTTCATGTATTGTTCCTGTTTGTATGTGTGTGTGTTTGTCTGTTATTGTAACCGGTGGTTTTGGGCTTCTGTTCTATTTTCCCTACTTCCGTAACCTTTCTCCCACCCCCACCATTTTAAACAAAACCATTTTCATGTGTTCATCTCACAAGGAGGATTGAAGTATCATAACAATATTATAGGCGTTACATTACACACTATGGCCTACAATGTACATTTACTGAGAAAAATGAAGCACAGTGTATAATAATCTCTTCGTGATGTTATGCCTATGCATAAATAGTATATTACGAAATGTTTATTCTGTTTCTAATCTTGTGTTTTTTTTTAAATTCCCCAATCATGCAGACTCCTGATTTCTTCAGTACTCATCTTACTTATCCTATGAATGTTTATTTGTATAAGTACAGTGGATATGAGCTTAGACAAGGATACTTTGGGTGTGTGTTCAACTGTGCCCCTGTCTTTCTTTCTTTACTGTCTGTCTACTAGTTTATTTATTCATTATTTGTGTCTTAAGTTGCCCTCCTCATCCTCATCCACATCCTTCTTGTCCCTTTACTGTTACACCTTCTTACTCTTCTCTTCCCTTCTCAGAATGATTCACTGAACCACACTATTAAAGACGAAAAAAGTGAAAGATAATGACGATTATGCAATATACACCATATACATACACATAATATAAATAATAGTCTTCTGATGATCTATTCTATTGTTTTAAAACATGCTATCTCTTTTTTATCCATTTGGCCTTATGATTTTCAAACTTTCAAAAGTTTTATATTTCTCATTTCCTTTCACATTGATGTCTTCTCTGTTTTTACATTTCTGCTTCTATACACTGTTCTTTTATTATTATTATTATTATTATGTAGTCAATTGACAGGTTTGATAATATTATTGTTATTATTATAATATTAATTAATATTATTACTATTGTCCACACCACTGACCAAGATATCTTGTATAATATGCTGTGGATATGAAGTTGATAAAGCCAATAAATTGACTGTCTGGCTAACTGACTGACCCGCTAACTGATTGATTTATTCACTTATATATATACATATATATAAATATTATTATTTGAATTGTTTTGTTATTATCACCTCTTATTTGGGAAGTACCATTAGCCAGTGCCAACGGGTTGATCTCTGACGAAATCTCAGTACGGATACAGAGGGCTAGTTTCGTATATGCCAGTTTACGCCGTCTCTGGCGTAGATGTGATATCTGGCTATCGAAAAAAGGATGGGTGTACTGCTCATCAGTCCGCTCCGTCCTTCTTTATCGCTGTGAGCGAGACCTGGACATTGAGACTGGAAGACATGAAAAGATTAGCTGTCTTTGATCATAGGTGCCTGCATTCTATCTCAAGTATTACGTGGTGGTATAATAAGGTGAGGAATATTGAGGTTAGGCATCGGTCGAGTGCTAGGTAGGTGGGAGGGGAAATCAATCGACGAGGTTGTGAAGTTACATCGACTGAGATGGTTAAGACATGTGTTACGTATTCCTAATCATTGCCTTCCTCGATGGGCAATGTTAGCTGACATAGGGTCAAGCTGGAAAAGAGCTAGTGGTGTTCAAACCAAAACATGGCTGCACCCAGTCAATGAAATCCACAACAGTTAGTTTAAGCCAGCCACGTAGGAAGGTGTAGACTTTCTGGGTGGGGTCCTGAGGATGGTAAAAATCAATGAACGCTGGAGACAATTGGTGGTATGGATAACTCAAAATCGTTGTCAATAGCTGGCGCAGATGCATCCACTCCTTGTGACTTATGATTTCCAGTGAAACTATATTGTTCTTCGTTATTACTATTCCTTTGTCTCACACCTCTTTTTACTGTCGCTATTATGCATTTCTTCTACTTTCTTCTGTTACTTTGTGTGCTACAAGGAGGGAGTGTGGCGACTGTTGCATATTGGTGTAAAGTTCTATGTTGAAAACAGACAGACAGACCTCTTTCTTATGTTATGCATGCATGATGTGAGATACATTGTGAAAGTGTTGGTGGAGGAAAAATAGAAAGAAATAGGGAAAGAAGCGTTTGCTTATGAATCTACTTAAGTATCGGAAGACAGTGTGTTCTCGGACCAGAGGAATATTTGTTACGAAATTGGTTGCGAATTTCTTTCATTGAGGGAAAACACATCATACTTATATACATTTTTTAGACACATTTATGATTGGTTAGGTAAGCGGATAATAAACTCTTCTGGTTGGTTGTTGACTTTCTGAAAGTTAAACCTTGAGGTTATTTCCTGACCACAACGTAAACTACATCTAAGTTTGAAAAATAAACACTTCTACTTCTGTAGCTATTGACTTTAAGTGTTGGTTTCAGTTTCGGCTACTTGCTATCAATCTCCGTCTATATACTGTTGATAAATCTTGTCAGTAGTAGCATATGCCATATGCTTACCGACATCCAGCAGTTGATGTATCTTTTTTGGCCTGGAGTTAGTATTTGAATTCGTTGGTGGATAAACAGATAGATGAGTGAGTAGTCAATATTTAGCTTTAAGGGAAGAGCCATTAAAGTATATTGTAGCCATCAAGGCATTCTACTAGAACCCATACAGGTGTGTTCTGCAGGGTTATTCAACGTATTTTTAAACATTCAAGTATTGGTTTGTAGGGATTTGGTTGATGGGTAACAGGATCTCATCATTGGATAGGGTCCCTGTGGCTTAAGAGTCTACGAGCTCGCCTTGTAACCGAGAGGTCCTGGGTTCGAACCTAGGTGGTAGCTGCGTGCCGATGAAGAGTCCCAAACTAGGACGAAAAAGCCGTCCAGTACTCCCATGTTTTCCATGGTTCTCTAAGCCATACCAGCTCATGATGAAATCCTGTAACCAATCATTAGAGATTTAGTTTCACTAAAGATGGAAATAACCAACCTTAGGAGACTTAAATACTTTAGGGATTAACGTGTTACCTGGCTAAATTCCCGTTGATCTAAAGTACTCAGATGATGGGTTAGAATGCTGACGAGACTCAGAATCTCCTGAACACCTTGGGCAAAAATATTGGTATGTTTTGCAAACAATTCGCCACATATCGAACGTAAGATGATGCTAAAGGACTGGATTTTGGCGATTTCTATTTTTAATGAAGTTAATTCGACCCTAGTGGAGTGATTGAAGACGAACAATCTCATTATGGATATAAAATGCTTGTTTGTCATATAGTAGTTTTCTCTGTCCCTCTCTATACAAGTGGGAAATATAACCGTCTAAAGTAGAAGATATAAAGAGGCTATCCGTGTTTAACCATTGCGTTCAATAACTCGTGCTAGCTGATGCAATGCGCTAAGTAATAGTGAGGTTGAGTATAAAGATTTAGATGAGAAGGGAAATTCATCTGATGAGGTTGTAAAACTACATCCAGTTGAGATAACCATGGTATGTGTTACACATCGTCTACCATTATTTTCATCGACGAGTAATATTAACCGACTAGGTTGGGAAGAAGTTAAGGGTGACATGACACTGTCGTCTGAAGTCTTTGCCTATCGGTATGAATTAAGTAGGCTGCTTGGTTGGGGTCGTTGGGGTTCTAAGGACCAATGATTGGCGACACATTTCATAATGGCAGAGACGTATTATCGTACGGTTCTGATAGGCAATGTTAACGTTTTGTTTAGAAAGTTGGATTGTTCCAATGGTTGTTGGCATTTAGAACACTAAAAAAATCATATGGCTGAAGAGGCAGCGAAGACGGGACTCCAAGTGAACATAGAGAAGGCGATGATGATGAAGGTAACCGACCGACCAACAGCAACAACAGCCAGCACCAATCACTATCAATGGGAGAGATTTAACAGAGGTTACTTCCTTAACTTATCTAGGAGGTATCATTTCAACTACAGTCAGTCGGAATGGATCAAGATATCAAAGCTGACCAGAGTCGGAAAGGCGAGACACGGCTTCATCAACCTGCAACCAGTTTGGAAATCTCCTACATTCAGTATAAAGAACAAGATTCGCATTTTCAACATCAATGTCAAGTCGGTCCTTGGCGTGTAGCGAGAAGGATTTCCAATAGGCTACTGCAGACTTTCATCAACAGTTGCCTTCGCTCCATACTGAAGGTCAAATG